CCTTGAGAATTTTTAAGACACAGTAATGTTTGTATAATGCTAACAGGTAAAAATTCAATTGCATGTCAGAATAAAATTTCATGAATTATTTTCTAATAAAAGTTTTAGAATTTTGCTATGACTTGGGCCTTTGTTGGTTTCGGGGGAAGGAACTGTGGGTCTAATTCTGTTCTCTGTAAGGGCGTACGTAGATCTTCTTCCTTCAGGCATTTGCACCCTAGGTTCAGGTCATCTTGTAGTTCTAGTTAGTTCAGTTTGGTGTCTGATATTATTTGTATAGTTTTACATAGTTAAAATGGTTTTTTTTCCCACATTGTCAAGAAGGACATTTTAGATATAATTTTGACACGAACACTGTGCATATTGAATTACATTTCTGTGTTTAAATATCGAGGAATAGAAATATTTTTCATCTTTATAAACCAGGACACCAGGATCTTGCCAAGATAACTATGTGGAAATGGAATATATCTGAGTGTTAGTAAATGCCATCACCCACTTTCTCCCCCAGCCTCATGCTAGTCTTTCTTTGCCCACAGCTGCAGCGGTAGACATCATTCAGGAAGTGACCTTGGCTTGTATTAATCAAATTCAGAACACAAAAAAAGCTTCTGGCTAACATGCTGACTTGATGTAAAATTTTGTCGCATCCATTTTCCCTCAAAATGAGGCCATCCTGTAAAAAGAAAACAAATTAAATGCCTGCGTACACAGAGAGCACACGCTTCTGCAAGCTGTGTTCAAGAGTGAACTAGATGTATTTTAAAATGAGACAGTCATACATTTATATCACGGGGGGTTGGAAGTTATTGGAGATTACTTGTTATAATTCCAAGTTAAGAAAAGATGTGCATCATCATTGATATAGTCAGGAGCTGAACCTTGTATGTCGAGTTGCTCTGTGGCTTTTCTGTGCGGTGAGGACAGTCTGCGGTGCTCTGGGCCTTTGGCAGTTGTGCAGTAAGTGGGGCACTTTGTGTATTCACTGCTGGTGTTTCAGAAATAACTAATATTTGATATTCTTGGTTTGGATAAAACCTCCTATCTTGTATGTGGTCATTTTAGTAGCCAATGGTGGGTCCTGGAGGGACAGGGAACAAATGGGCCCCTAGAAGCTCTAGCTGTAGCCTCCCCTTGTGAAAAGGACGGTACACTGCAGTTTGCATCAGTGACCTGAGGGAGTGGGAGCCTAAGCACTATAATTAATGGGCTTCATTATCGAGTTTTCTCTTTAAAGCATTTCCAGGGAACTAAACAGGCATCATCTTCTGTCATTGTAGGTTGTTGGTAGAATTGAAGCCTCATGGAGGAAAATCTTAACCTTCTCTGATTATTAATTCTTTGTCTTTACTAGCATTATCGATCAGTTTATTGGATGCTCTTAAGATAAAGAAATCCTGACTTGAAGGAGAAAGAGGATAATTATCAAATCATTTTTCTTCTCAAACCCCTGTTTAAAAATAAAGTTGTCACCTGACCTTAGGGTGTTCGATGCCTTTTTTACCTTTCCTGCTTCTTAAGAGAAGGCCTTGGAGGAACAGCAGCAGCCTCGGTAGCCAGGGAGTTAATGCTGCTGCAGCCCGAGGGTCAGCGCAGTCTGTTTGCTGATTGGCTGCTAAAAGGTGAAATTGAAACCACTGTAAACTTTTGACCTTGTAGCAGTTCCTGTGGAAAGCCTTCCAGGGGTGGAGCCTGCTCACCGCCCACCCCCCACTCCCACCCCCTCTGCTGTATTTATTTAGTGTGAGCCGGCCAGGCTCTTCTCCACTGCTTTTCAGAAGGAGAGGGTGGGTGAAACGGAGGGAGAGGCAGAGAGGAGAGAGCGGCAGGGCAGAGCAAGCAGCTGCCAGCAGCTTGCTGATGTGCCGCTTCCCTTCTAGCCATCCTTCCTAACTTGAGCCCAGCCAAAGATGTGAGGCCGCTTCAGAGCGCTCTGCCCCAGGATTTTGTAGTCTCTTTACTTAGTTTCTGGGCATTTAAAAGCAGAATAGTGTGCCTCCACAACTTTCAGTTTTTGAGATAAGATCTCACTGTGCAGCTGGCTAGCCTGATGCTGAAATTAAGTGTGTCTGCCACCACACCCAACATTTTGTAAAAAATGCATTTTTTTAAATTTTATGTTTGTTAGGTTAGCATGCACAGTACTGGGTTTCATTATGGCATTTTCATGCATGTGTGCCATGTACTTGGCTCTAACCACCATCTTCCCCTACTGCCATCCTTCCATCCCCTGCACCCTGAGGCTGGAGTCTGTGTTTGAGCAGAATGCCTGGCATTACTTCCTGGATGTGCTGAACTATATGGAAACTTTCACTTTCAATCACCTTTCTGCATTTCATTTATGTAGCCTGTCTTCCATATAGTTTTTAGACAAATAGCCAATATTTTCTCCCTTTATTTTATTTTGTTTTATTTTTGAGACAGAGTTTCTCTGTGTAGCTTTGCGGCCTGTCCTGGAACTCTCTCTGTAGAGAAGGCTAGCCTTGAACTCCCATGCTGGGATTAAAGGCGTGTACCACCACTGCCCAGCGCTTTCTTTCTCTCTTTCTCTCTTTCTCTCTTTCTCTCTCTCTCTCTCTCTCTCTCTCTCTCTCTCTCTCTCTCTCTCTCTCTCTCGTTCCCCTTTGAAGCTCGTGTGTGTGTGTGTGTGTGTGTGTGTGTGTGTGTGTGTGTGTGTCTGTCTGTCTGTGTGTGTGTGACACAACTGCCCAGCTGCAAATGGCCAGTATTATATAAAGTGTTATTGGAATTGGCAGGATGGCTCAGTGGGTAAAGGTTTGACTGAGCTGAGCTTGGGCCCATGATGGAGGAGAGAACAGATTTCTGAAAGTTGTCCTCTGACATTCACATTTCTGTAATGGGGCACAGGAACGCACGCACTTACACATGCATGCATGAATAATAAAAACATCCTTTAAAGGCGAACCCTTTGGGGGGGGGGTGGTCCTGGAATTGAATCTGGGCTTTGTGAATGCTAACAAACACTCACAGTGAACTATGTCCCCAACCCTGTTTTGTTTTTGAGAGAGAATTTGGCTAGTGTATATCCTAGGCTGGCCCGGAATTAGCCATCTTCCTGCCTTAGCCTTTCCAGTTCTGGGACTGCAGATGCATGTGGTTGTGCTTGTCTCTTCTGCTGTTTAGTGTGAAGAACTAACAAGGCATTTTATGAATCCAGGTAATATTTGCAGAGATTGCCTCATTTCACATCTTTTTTTTTGGTTTTTCGAGACAGGGTTTCTCAGTGTACCTTTGTACCCGCCTTTCCTGGAACTCACTTGGTAGCCCGGGCTGGCCTCGAACTCACAGAGATCCACCTGCCTCTGCCTCCCGAGTGTTGGGATTAAAGACGTGTGCCACCACCGTCCGGCTCATTTCGCATCTTAATCGTGCTTCGGGGTTACTCATTTTGTAGTACTAATATTCCCCACTGTTACTCATCCCTGCTGATAAAGAGCACAGGCATTGGTGCTCATCAAATGCTTATTTCATGGACATCACTTGTGTTTCCGAAACTTTAGTGCCTGTTTGTACCTACCTGCTTTTGCTCCCCCCAACTAATGGTGGCACCATGATTTCATTTTTATAGTATTTATTTTATTATTTTTAATTATTTGTGTGTGTATCTGAATGTGAGTACAGTGCAACCCAAGGCCAGAGATGTAAGCTAGGAGTTACAGGTTGCTGTGAGTGGCCTGCAAAGGGTATTGGGAAACTAACTCCGGTTCTCTGCAAGAGTAGTGTATGCTCTTAACCACTGAGCTATCGCTCCAGCCTCCTGTGGTTTTTCTCTTTCTCCTTTTCACTCCCTCCTTCCTTCCTTCCCTCCTTCCTTCCTCCTTCTCCCTTTCTCCCTCCTGCTCCTCCTCTTCCTCCTTTTTTGTATCTCGTGCTGTCCTGGAATTCCCTCAAAACTCAGCCATCTGTCTGCCTCTGCCTCCCAAGAGCAGGGACTAAAGGCGTGCGCTGCCACTCCTGGCCCATGAGTTCTTTACATTGTCATTTACTGGCACAGTCCTGGCATCCGGTAGACACAAGCAGGCATGTCTCTTTTTCTCCAGAAAAGGCTGTTTGTTTGTTTTTTTTAATTCAAGTCACTGCACATAGGAAACCAGAGGGGGAGCCCCAGGCTGGGACAGATACTGGCTACCCCTCCCCTACAGAACAAAGGGAGAAGGTGGTCCTGCACCCTTTCCCCATCAAAGTGGTGCCCCCCCCCCAACATCCAAGGGGCAAGACCACATCTTCCCTGGTGTGGGGTGGTTGGTAACCAGCATGCTGCACCCCAGTTCCCCTTCTCTAGGGGAAGTTCTTGGGGAGGAGAGCAGACAGAACAAGAGTATAAACTTTTGGTGCTGGTAGCAGGAAGGAACCTGGCTTTTTTCTTTTTCTTTCTTTTTTTCTTTTTGGTTTTTTGAGACAGGGTTTCTCTGTGTAGTTTTGGTTCCTGTCCTGGATCTTGCTCTGTAGACCAGGCTGACCTCGGGTAACTCACAGATCTGCCTGGCTCTGCCTCCTCCCAAGTGCTGGGATTAAAGGCATATACCACGGCTGCCCGGCTGAAACTGGCCTTTTTCAAAGGCTGTTTTGGGAAGCCAAGTCTGTTGCTTTCATTGTATCTTTCAGGTTTCCAGGTTGGCTTTGCCTAGGACTAAACATGTTTATAGTGCATGAAATGACTATAGTAAATGGTTCGATATAGTAAAAAGGCAGGCTGATCCTTTCTCATGTGCACCAGCGTGAGTGGTAGTGTACAGTATAAACCCTGCTGTCTTCTGTGAAGATCACGTGAATGCCGTGCTTAACTTTTTTTCTTTTAATAAAAAATACAGATATTGATATGGCAAAAAAGGCATCTACTCCGAGTCCCAGAGGAGGCTCTGTGCATGATGGTTTTCTCATGCTGAAGGGGGAGATGGGAATAATTATGAAGGGCTGATACTAATGCTTAATTTGAAGACAAGACAATAAACCCCCCCCCCCTTTTTTTTTGTCTTTAGGATCAAAAGATTTGCTGAACAGCGGACTCGGAGATCGGTAAAATAAGCTCCTACCTGAACCTCACTGACTGGGCGCCAGGTAATTCATGTAGTCTCCTTGACTTTATCGCTGTAATTTTCTTTCTTTTTTTTTTTTTTAAATTTATTTTATGCACATTGGTGTGAAGGTATCAGATTCCCTGGAACTGGAGTTATAGACAGTTGTGAGCTGCCCTGTGGGTGCTGGGAATTGAACCCCAGTCCTCTGGAAGAGCAGCCAGTGCTCCTAACCACTGAGCCATCTCTTCAGCCCCAGTAATTTTCTTTTACTTGAACTGCCTGAAGGCTCTGCCTTCTGCCTTGTGGCTTCAACTTGCTTTGTGCTTAATGTTCTTCTCTTGACGATGGTTGAGCAAGTGGACTTGGGCTGAGTGAACACATAGGTGTATGTTTGTCTACAGTATACAGACAAACATACTTACTGGGGACAGGAGGGAAAGCAGCCCTCTCTGCATCTCTGTGTGGATAGTTTAAGGTTTTTGGTGAAAATTGGCATCTGCCTAGCACGATGGTGCATGCTTTAGTCCCTGCAGAGGCAGGCCAGCCAGGGCTGCAAGGTGAGCCCTGTCTAAAAAACAAATTGGAATCAGCCCCAACCCATGTTTGCTATTTATTTTCCCCAGACTCCGTTCTTAACCTTTATTATTACATCAGAACAGTGAAATAGAAAAGACTGCCAGACCGCTCCAAAAGTACTGTGCTTTGCTCAGCTAAGTCAAGTTGGCATTATCCTGCCAGTTCTTGCTTAGTTAGTCCTGAAATCTGGGTCTTGGAATCCCAACCTCCTTGGATACATTTACAAAAGGCTTTATCTAGTTTGCTAGTTTTCTGTCTTTTACTTTTTTTTGGTCCCACTTTCTGTTTCTAATTTTAGCCTTGTCTAGGTCAAGAGCTAGTAACTTTGAGCAACAATTTCACATTTGCCTTTACCCATGTCCCCTTGTTGTTTCCTTATCTGCTAATTCTACCAATTTGTAGGTTTTTTTTTTTTTTTTTGGTTTTTCGAGACAGGGTTTCTCTGTGTAGCTTTGCGCCTCTCCTGGAACTCACTTGGTAGCCCAGGCTGGCCTCGAACTCACAGAGATCCGCCTGCCTCTGCCTCCCGAGTGCTGGGATTAAAGGCGTGCGCCACCACCGCCCGGCCAATTTGTAGTTTTGCTACAAGATTTTCTTATGTTCCTTTTCCTGTTTACAGAAAAAAGGAACGGTGCCTGGGATACTGCTCAGTGTTATAGTCACCTCCCGAGAGTGCTCAAGGCTTCATGTGTTTAAGCCTTTAGTCTAACCCCATGATTAGTTAGGGACCCATCCTGATTTCCTTTTGTATTGTTTATACTTTGAATTGATCCAGAGCTTGTCCTTGCTCTTGTAGGCACCTTCCTCGCTTTCATTCTGTCAGGTCCTTTGGCCTATTGGATGGTGCCACCTACAGTCAGGACAGGCCTTTGCCATGTCCTTTCTGCTCATGTGCCAGCTGTGGAATAGAGTTCACAGATGCACCCAGAAGTATACTGTGCCCATTAAAACCCTAGGCACCAGGGGCTCAGTCCAGTCAAGCTTGCAGTCAAGATGAACCCTCATAATGTAGTGAATACAGAAACACATTGTAGGGCTGGAGAGATGGCTCAGTGGTTAAGAGCACTGATGGTTCTTCCAGAGGACTTGGGTTCAAGTCCCAGCACCCACATGGCAGCTAACAACTGTCTCTAACATCCTCACACAGGCATACATGCAGGCGAAATACCAATGCAAATGAAATAAAAGTAAGTAAATTAATTTAAAACAAAACAAAAAACCACATTGTAGACGGAATAGTTTTTTTTTAAACTAAAATTTTCCTTCTAAAAGTTCCCCTGATGGGTCAGTGAGATGGCTCAGCTGGTAAAGGCACCTGCTGCCAAGCCTAACAACCTGAGTTTGATCTGAGACCCATATGCTGGGAGGAGATGTCCCCAAGTTGTCCTTTACCTACACATACATTATGTTCCCTTTCTCCATGCAAAATATCATAAAGTTCTGGTTGTAGTGAATCAATGTGAACAAAAATATCACTGGCACAGGAGTGACTACTAGGTTGTAAGAGCTATATTTATCCTGGCTCTTTATTTTTGTTTGAAAAACATTGCTTTGATTGTATGCTATCTTTTCAGCCTTTTTTTTTTTTTTTTGAGGTGTATGGATCATTTCATCTTGTCAGTTGCCTGCCTAGAGGGAGTAACTTCAGAATGAAGCCAGGAAGCACAGATGGCCAGTTTTGTAGTAGAAAAGCTAGTGGGACAGGGCTGTGGTCTTTGTGTAAGTTTTCATGATGATCAATTTGTACACTTTAGAGATAGATCTCAGGTTCTTTCTAACTGTAAGTTTTTGTGGTTGACAGATCTGGTTCTTCATGTAGAGACTCTCACCTGCTAAATGTTTCTCCCCACTCACTAAAGTACAAGGTCGCTAGTGAGATTCACAGTTAAGAGTCTCACTATGTAGCTCAGGCTGCAGAAGATAACAGGGCCTCACTTTGTAGCCCAAGTTGACTTTGAATTCAGTGATGCTCTTCCTACAGTAGCCCTTCGAGCACTGCGATTGTGCATTCCTGTAGCTAGAGTTTTCCTGCCTGGCCCACAGTCAGGACAAATCTCTCTCACCTGCCAGTCCCACAGCTGCTCAGACCCGACCAAGTAAACACAGAGACTTATATTGGTTACAAACTGTATGGCCGTGGCAGGCTTCTTGCTAACTGTTCTTACAGCTTAAATTAATCCATTTCCATTAATCTATACCTTGCCTCATGGCTTGTGGCTTACCGGCATCTTCACATGATGTTTGTCATCATGGCGGCTGGCAGTGTCTCTCTGACTCAGCCTTCCACTTCCCAGCTTTATTCTCCTCCTTGTCCCGCCTACACTTCCTGCCTAGCCAATGGCCAATCAGTGTTTTATTTATTGACCAATCAGCAACACATTTGCCATACAGAACATCCCACAGCACATTCCCTTTTATAGGAGGTGTTTGTGGGGATAAGTCAAGTATACTGAATGGTTCATTTGTGATTTAGCACATGTCTGTAACCCCAGCATTGGGAGGCTGAACCCAGTCTCTATTGTGAGTTCCAGGGCAGCCAGGAACCACAGACCTTATGTGCAAAAGCCAAACCTAAACACCTCCTACCCTAAACCTAAACAAATAAAGAGTACACAAGTCTTCTGTTTGTTATTGATGATTGCTAAAGTCTATCCTTTACCCCACTGGTGGTAGGATGAAGTTTTAGTAGGTGTCATTAGGGTTATTACCTCTCCAAGTTAGCAAAAATGAAAGTTTATTTTTTAGAGACAGGGTTTCTCTATGTAGCCCTGCCTGTCCTGGAACTCGCTCTGTAGACCAGGCTGGCCTCAAACTCAGAGATCCTCCTGCCTCTGCCTCCCAAGTGCTGGGATTAAAGGTGTGCACAACCACCACCGAGTCCCAAGAAAGTTCTTTTTCTTTTCTTTTCTTTTTTTTTTTTAATATATTTTGGTCATATCTTTCTCTCCGCAACCGCGGCGTGTCCCCCCCCCCCCCCCATTCTTTCTCTCTTTTAAAAAGAAAACCAGAACAAAGACAAAATCTATGTGGTTCTAATGGTAGTTCTTGCATTAAGTGGCTTGCTTATCGGGAGGGAGAGTCTGTGAGGAGGACTGGAATGTCTGACATTGAGCTCAGGTGTCCAGATGCTGTTTTCCTGTGTTGTACCGATCAAGTACTGAACTTCACCAGTTGGAGTGAGTTTGTTTTCTCTGTCACAACTCTTCCTTCTAGTTCACTGTTCTGTAAGATTAAATGGGAGTAATAGATAGTATGTATTTATTACAGGTATCTGCGCCATGTCAGATGAACAATCTGTGTTCACAATCATGTGTTTTAAGTTTTTTAAAAAAAGTTTTATTATGTATACACTGTTCTGCCTGCGTGTATGCTTGCAGACCAGAAGATGGCACCAGGTCTCATTATAAATGGCTGTGAGCCACCAGGTGGTTGCTGGGAATTGAACTCAGGACCTCTGGAAGAGCAGCCATTGCTCTTAGCCTCTGAACCATCTTCCCAGCCCATGTGTTTTAAAATTTAAGACACTAAATTGAGCATTATTTTGTATGTTGTGTGCTCTGATTTATTTAATGTGTATTGGTGTTTGTCTGCTTGCATGTCTGTTCACCATGTGCATGCAGTTCCTGCAGAGGCCAGAAGAGGGCGCCAGAAGTCCTGGAGTTACAGACCGTTGTGAACTGCCATGTGGGTGCTGGGAATTGAGTTCTGGTTCTCTGCAAGAGCAGCCAGTGCTCTTAACTGCTAAGCCATTAACTCCTGCTCCTTGTTTAGCATAATAATAACAACAATAATAAAACAATGATTCTAATGTATTTACCTTTTAAATTTAATGATGGCTTATAAGATTGAATTGTATTTTTGCATAATTAATTTTTCTCAGTCTCTCTCTCTGGCTTTATTAGGATTTATATTCAGATATGAGATTGGTAAAGCTCTACCTGCTCCTGATGTAGCAGTGTATTTTGTGCTCAGCCCTCCAGTTCTGAGGATCGAGCTTTACTGAGCAAGCACTCTACTGCTGAGCGATACCTCCAGACTTTACCTCAGTGTTTTTTTCTTTCCACACAAGGTCTCATGGTTCATAATGAAATTCAGCCTAGTTATACAGCTCGGGTGACCTTGAACTTTTGATCATCCTGCCTCTCTAGTGTTGGGGTTACAGGTGTGTGTCACCACACATATAGCTCACTTCAGTTTTTTAAAACCAGTTTTTACACTCAAGCTTATAACTACAATTTAAAACTTGCACTGTAATTTTTGGTGAATCTTCTATTTAAGGCCAGTCAAGTAGTTTTGTTATAAATGGAAAAGCCACAGGTATTTTACTTGGAATGATGTGACTTTTTTTCTTTTTTTAAGACCTTTTTAAAAAAATATTTTAAATTTATTTTTTGAGAATATCATACATGCATGCGGTATTTTTGATCATATATCTCAACAACTCTAGCTTCCCCTTAGAGCCTC